TCCCACCAACGGACAGTGTGTGTGTGTCGGAAAATATGTCGCATCAACCACTTGAAAAGCAGAAAAAAATATCTGTCTTTTTTTAAACGCTCCCAGGGTGGTGAAGATGGCTACACTCTGTTCTTCCAGAAGCCCAGAAAGATACACTGCAGTTACAAAAGCTGCACACTTTGCCGATAATTGTCATAAAAAGAAATGTTTTGATGTTTAGTTCAGTTGTTATATTGACTGTATATTTTTACAGAACCAAAAATGCATTTACTTTATTTTATTGATTTCAAAATACAGTACAGCTATTTCAAACATTTTTCAAAATTACAGTACTGTACAAATTAAATTATTGAACTGTGTATAATTCAAATACGCTATATACAGTACTGCACATAATATTCAATTATTGTAGTTTTGCTGCTGCATCTCAGTGGTTCGTTTTTGCCAGTTATCATAAGCTTTGATGAGTCTATATTTGTCATTGACAGAAAATGTCTTTTTCCCGGTCATGTCCTCTGTGCACGCTGCATTAGCCTCAGGTAGCTAGTTAGAAGCAGACAAATTACCACAAGGCAGAGTAGGGCAATCAAAGAAAAAATTTTTTTTTAATTAACGCAGTTTTAATTTTTTCCATATGTTGTCATGTTTTTCCATATGTTGTCAAAAGACCAAAAATGAACACTGTAAGCAGACTACTTGATTACTATAAGCAAATTATTTAAACAGTATTTGTACAGGAATGATTCTGTCCCAAGGTTTTTAATCCACATAAGCAGTTGATCACTATAACAGTGATCACTGTAGATGGTTTCCACAGTATTTATAACATTTATAACAAAGGGCAGATCGTCAAGTACGATACATTTCACAATTTTCCAAGTAATACATTATGAGTTTGCACTGTCTGTACTGAATTCTCTTTTGATAAACGCTTGTGTTAATGACAGACTAGCGTTATTTGGCATTACTGCAGCCTTCTTTATTAGAATAGATTTATTTTTCAGAAACTCTTCATACTCTTCACTCTTGGCTTAAGGTGAATCAAATTTGTTGTGTTGAAATATTTATAAGTAGATCCTCATTGTGAAATTTCAGCAGAGCAATGTTTGCAAAATGCATTTGTAACATTTTTCATAACATTTAAAAGATTCCACACAGCAGACATTTCCATATCTGTTTAGTACGTGGGTGTGCAAAGCAAAACAGGTCACCATTTTAATGGGGATTACTGGCAGTAAATATCGGCTCATTTTAACCATAGGCCGATTGTTCTTATATCGGCCAATACCACTGGTGCTTCTCTACTTACAAGTAAAACTGAACATCCACGGGAACATTTCATAAAATGTTAAGGGCATTTCAACTTTGCCAAATCAATTTGTATGTGATATTGTTCATGAAAGCACCAACTTAGTGATAAAAGTTTCTTTTCTGGAAAGGCTGTGTCAAGAATTGTGTTTTAACACCAAAGCCTAACAAAATATCCTTTCCTAGTTGGACAACAAATTTTCTAATTAAATGTTGTTGCAGCAGGATTGTTGGCTGTCAAACTGAATTTCTTAAAAAGGGCAGACATTCATAATAGCAGACCATATGTTGCCTACACAATATTTTTAGACAACATAATGTCACAAACATTTCACACGATATGTCCTGAATTTCTGAAATTACTCTTAATAAAAAAAAAAAAAGAAAAGAAAAAAGATCAGATACTCATATAATGGAAATAACAGCTCAGTTAAATTATCCCTAACCACAAATTTCAAGTAGAGGGATAATTCAGAAATTGCCAGCTCAACCATCTTTTACATAAATCATTCTTTTACTTATTACTGAAACAAAAACACCAGAACTGAAAATAAAAAGGATATACTAAGAAAGAATTCCAAAAGGCAAAAACAAATTTATAGTATTCTCTCTCACATTTAGCTTTAATCATGCAATTGTCCGTTTTCATAAATGTTTGATATTGCTGAAACACAATAAGGATCAAGACTGGTATCTGACAATGCCTAAATATATTCAATAACTACACTACTCTGGCCATAACAGCAAACTACAGTTAACCACTCCACTATGCATTGTTATACTGTAAGAAAGCAATACAAGTAAACTTCTGATTATATTTATACATACATGTTGGTAATACAAATGGTACAGATTTACTGGACTAAAAAATGGATAAGTTAGAACAAACCTGAAACAGAGAAAAATGTGTGTACCCTAACGAATTCTGAATTTTCATCGAAATCACAGAAGTCTCATTTAACAAACATTTTGCATTGTCATATCTTTACTGAACAAATTTGATCAAAGAAAACAAGCAGGCTATTCGCTAATATTTTCCAGAATTACTGATACTTTTAAAGTCTAAAAAAGTACCAACTTGGACATAGCATTCAAACATCATTTGACTATGAAAAGTTAATCGGAATCCTCAATCCATAGCTCACATGGCATTCAGCTTGCTTGTCTGTAAAGATGTTTGGTTATTGTTTTAATGTTCAATATTAATTTCTTTGTGGAAGCACAGCCAATGTGCTTTGTACTTTTGGCATGGAGGTGTAATAAATGTCTGGTCTCCTCACTAACCAACATCTGTGTCATCTTACACCCAATGGTTACACCAATAAAAGCTCATTGAAAAGCAAAGTACGTGAACCTCAAGGATAATGAAAAAAAGAGCAATTTCTGTTCTATTAATGCACCGGATAAAAATAAAAGCCATACAATTTGTGTTACCTGCACTTCACAACAAATTCTTTTCAAGTACAATATGACTGGAAGACTTGGGTTTCCATCAGTCCACGGCCAGGTAGTTTACAAATGGAAGAAATCCAGCAGCGCTGCTAGTGCGTCCTACAAAGACCATTTCAAAGGCACGCCGTAAAATCTTCAAAACCAGTGACAAAGAACCACAAGGAGATAGCAAAAACTGGGCAGCCAACTCTTGCACTTGATAACATCCATGTTCATGAGTCTATAATAAGAAAAATACTGAGGAAGAGCAGTGTTCATGGGGGGTAAAAGAGGAAACCATTGCTCCCCCCACAAAAAAAAATAAATAAAAAATTGCTCCCCATCTCAAGGTTGCTGAAGACCACCTGAATGATTCACAGCACTACTGGCGCAATGTTTGGTGGAAAGATGACACAAAAAAAACCTTCTGGTTAATGTACACAATATTCTATTTGGAGAAACACTATGCAGAGCACCAAGTCTTATTCCAACTGTGAAGTTTGGTGGAAGGAGTGTAACGGCATGGGCCTGCTCGGTGCCTCAGGGTCTGGAAGGCTTACAATCATTGTGAGACCAATGATTTGCAAGTTGAAACAGGAAATTCTACACAAGTATGTCAGGGTGCCTGCCTGTGATCTAAAACTCAAGAGAGGCTGGGTCACAAAATGTGACAAAGATCCAAAAATACAGGAGTAAAGAAAGCACAGTGGCTCAAATAGAAGAAATTACATTTTTTTTTTTTCTTTAATGGTCAATTCAGATTCTATGACCTCAATCCCACAAAAATGTGACAGTATGATATCGCAAATCTGTACATGAACTGAAACAATTTTGGATGATGGAATGGCCCAAAGTACCACCTCACCACTGCAGAGGCCACAGAAACGATTTGGTTATGGTTATTACCAATAAAAAGATTCCATTAGTTACAAATTCTAAGGATTGATATACTTTTTACAAAAATTACCTTATTTACCGAATTTGTTCAAAAAATATATATGCAATGTATAATGTTTCATATGCTTGGTAAATAATTTGATTAAATAAATATTGAGATGGTAACATAAAAGATCATAAAAGCAAAACATTCACAAATCCAGATAATGCTTCATAACTTTACAAAGTTACAAACTGCTTTTAATAATGAGTCCCATGGAAAGCAGACAAATTATAATGTTGGACGAACTGAAAAGGTCAGAAATGTATGGTTAAGGCTCTACTTTAAAAAAACACACACACACACACACACCCGTGTGTTTCACAGTACGGCTCAAATTTTGTCATTGGTATGTTTCGATAACATTCAAAAGATCTGACAGCACTGTTCAGTTTTTTTTTAAGTTACATGACAGGCTGTCATCTATGTTCATAAATTGTACAGAAGATTACATTTCCCAAAAAGTGCATGATGCAGAATACTGCCAAATGGTAAAGTAACGTCGATAGTGTTCATCCAGTGATGTGCGATGTAAATTTTAGAACATTTCAGACAGACAATGACTCAGATCCTATTATACGTATGGCAACAACAATCCAGATATAAAAATACTTGACCCATCATTTTTTCGACTATGCACAACAACGGATTGTATATAAAGGCGTTTTCCCGAGCTAAGTGCTTTACATGTTACTGGCTAACTAGCTGCCTAGCTAACGCTCTGCGTTTAAACAACGTGGGTAGCCAGCTTGATAGCTTGCTAAAGAAACATCGTACAGCATTTTAAGCGAAGCTTAGACATAAAACCGAGTGGAAAAAAGTCGTTTCGGCTTTTCCATTCATCTGCTTTAAGTTATCTGCGTGTCTTTTCAACTTTTTTCCCCCCTTACAGCCGACCAAGTAGTTCACAATGTACTGCACATCATAAGCAAATTTACAAAACCTGATTAGCAACCCGGCCTGCTACATAAAGATGGTCCTCTACAGTTACGCGGCCATCTATTAAATTTGGCTTTTAACAAATGCTGTTTGTTTTAACTGTATTATTTATAATACACAAATATAAGCGAGTAAATCTTATCCAGATATAACTCTGCTACCAAGGTAACTGGCCTGCAACTGCAGCACACAGTTAGCTAGCCAGCTACTTAGCTATCCTTCAACCACCTGATTGTAACCAAACTAGTCATTTAAAAGCAATACATATCTCCCACATTCACGGCATATGTGTCGGGATATTTACCGAAAAACCCTTCAACTCGGTTTAGGTGTTTTAACTTAGGCATTTAATAACAAGTAATGGCTAATTCATATCAATAAATAGCGCACAAACCTGGTGTGGCGTCGAGGCTCTCAAAACCCAGACAGCGACAAAACCTGCTGGAACAGGGGTCTCACTGGAATATCTAGGCCTTTAGTGGTTCTCTTTGCTTTCCCAGTAAATGAAAGGGATTCAGTGAGGTTCTCTGACTTTTTTTGCTATATAGAAGAACTATTACTGGAGGATTATGGTCTTCTTCCAGCTGCAGTGTAGTGTTGTTTTCACGATCCCCAAAGTTCCTCCGTCATTTTTCACTAGTCTGCCCGCTTGCCGTTTCCCCTAGTTGATTTGTTTATACAGAAGAGTAATTTATAGCCAGATAGCTATCGCTTCCTTAAGAACGTTTTAGACAGTGGCCAACATGGCCTACATTTATATAATGATTATAATTCTAATGATCCATCATTCCATGTATACAATTAAAACGCATCAACATTTATAAAAAATAAAATAAAACAAACACGGAGAAAGCTTAAAAAAATCGAATGCAATTGAGACCTGACGCATAGGACGCAAACGGAGACAATACGTAGCGGCGTATGGGCAGCGTTCCGAAGTTTGGGGCGGTGCCACTCGGATTTACAGGTTCTGATTGGCTGGTATGAAATTTATTGACGCGCCCTGAAAAATGTCTACCGGAGAGCTTATAAACGTTAGCAAAAATTCGTCTTAGTAATCGAAGTTGGGTGAGTGAGGAAGTCTGTTGCACAAGTAGATCATCATTTGGTTTCTCATCGATGGATTTACGGGAAGTCGGGAAACTTAGTACGGGGGCACGTTTTGAACGAATAAGTAATTCGTGATTATGTAATGTTGGATGTATGAAAGCCAGATCGTTGCAGATTTTTTGCAAACTTTTAGCTTCTCCTGAGCTAGTAATGCAGTAGATCACACAAAACAAAGCGTGCTGTACTTGGCCTATTGTATCAAGCACCTTGAATTAAACTGCATATTATAGTGGGTACAACCGACTCTCAGACTAACTAATATTGTAATAAATCAACTATCCAATTCCATTAATTTTCAAGACTGGAAGTCAAGTATTTTACCAGAATACATGGCCTGCCATGTTTGTATTGTAATAGTATTTTTTTTACAGTACTGGGACTGGGTATTGGTGAGATATGAAGGACAAATATGATTCTGTGTAAACATTGGTGAACCGTATTAAATCAGGGGCATAAAACTACGCCCATGCTGGTTTTCATTCTCACCGAATCATTGCCTTAATATATCGCATTATATAAATAAAACGTCACGATTCATCTTTGTGACTCAAAAAAGATGTGGGTTCACTACGAAATGTGCAGACATCTTGATTTGCTCATAACATCCAATTTGTTGCCTTGGTGAACAAAGAGCCCAGACCTCAATCTGATTATACGATACTGGACAGAATGCGAAAGCAGAAGCAGTATTGTAGCCAGAATATGGCCACAATTTGTATTCTTCATAACTACACATTTGCCTGAAGCTTTGAATAGTACATAAGGTAGGAATATTGTATAAGTCATTTCCCGGAGGAACCTTCCCGAGGGATTAATGAAGTTCGTTCTGTCTGTCCGTCTGTCAGTCAGTCATGTGCAGGCTCCCAGAACCAAGTATGCTAAATACCAAAATACCAGTTATGGTATATTTAAATTATTATTTATATTTTTGTACACTCAACAGCAGGGGTAGATTTGGACTAAAAATTGGCCCTGGACTTTGGAGAAAATTTCAGCGGGGGGTGGGGGAATGATAAGTATTGCCGAGTGATACATTTTGTTGCCGGCTGACATACCCATCCGCCCACTGGGTAAGAAATGCTCAATATGCCAAATGGCCAGCCCAGCCTTGCTAACCAGCCAGAACATCCTAAATTCTTTGCAGCAAGAAGATGCATAAAACGTTACTTAGAAATTTTGGTCAATGTAGACATGATTGTATCACATAGTTGCACACTGATGCTGCGAATCTCCCATTCCTCCACATCCTAATGGTGCTCGATTGGATTTAGATCCAGTGACTGGCTAAGCCACTGTAGGATATTGAACTCCTCATGTTCATAAACCAGATGACCATTCTAGAAATAGGCATTAGAAGATGTATAAATTGTGGCCATAATGAAATGTACATGATTAGCAACTATACTCATTTACGTTGTGGTATGTAGATGACACTTGGGATTACGGGACCCAGTGGGTGCCAAGAAAACATTTCCCACATCATTATACCACCAGCATAAAGCAATCGCGCAAATGTCACAACAAAATGTTTTTTTTTTGTGTGTGTGTGTGTGACCACGCTGTGTCGCTCCAGGCTAGACACCCCCTTAGGGAGCCGCCCCCCCTCGCCCATACCTAAATCCACCAGAGAGTATATATATTATAGAGCAGCCAATGAGGACATCAGGTAGGCAGTGAGCCAGACATGTTAGCAGATACTCCATTGAATCGGGACATGCAAGTGGTTCATCCCAGAAGTGGGGAGGAGATAAAGAAAGAGCTTCATCTAATGTGGAACTGACAACCCACAATGCAAGGCAGCAGGATGAGTGCTTGATATATCTAGTGATGCCAGCTGCATACTACAGTATATTTTGCATTATTTGCATTTGATGAAGACTGTTAGAACAAAATGTTAAGTCCTGGGGGAGTGAATACATTTCGAAGGCACTGTACAATAAGCTGTAATATATATTTGGTGAATATTTTAAAGTTCTGAATGATTTACTTGGACGCTCTTCTACATCACAGTGATGGCCAAAAGGTAACTATTCATAAAAGGCCTTACTTTCTTAGAAAGTGCCTTGATCTAATTCCTGGTTTTAATTCTAAAGCTATGCATTAGTACATTTAGATTACTGGAAAATTTACATAAAATCCTTTGTTAAAATACCTTTCTCAATCTGTGCGATTCTGATAGACCGCATATGCCTTTTTAATGCATTCTGTTTTATGTTCCACACTTAGTCAATTTAACATCTTCAAATTTAAATTGCAAATGCATCCATCTCTGTACAGATTTTAATCAAAGCACATAATAGTAACAAATAAAGTACAGACTCTCAGACAGACCTGGATGATAGTTTTATCTGATTAGATTATGAATTTGAACATTTGGTAATTCATAAGCAGCATGTAAGTTTACCATTACATCCTGACAGCTATACTATACATTAATAACAGACATTACAATCGTATAATGTTTGTTATTAATTAAAGCTGTTAAGGTGTGTTGCAATTTTAAGGTATACTTACATACTGCTTATGAATGTTCTATGAATGCATTATGAATGCATTATAAAAGTACAGTTAATGCAAAGTGCAACTGAATGTTTTGCTGTTACGGAGCATCACATTGATATTTCCTGTCAGATAGTGCTTACCCTCCCCCTTCAACAAATTTTGTAATAGAAGAGGAAGTGTAAGCAGTTTGTTAGCTTCCTGTCACTTGTTCTCTGTCAGAAGGTGAACTGCTGCAACATCAATTTAATATTCACAACAGGACAGAGGGAAAAGACGCAAATATATTTCACGCAAAATGGTAAGGATATTATTTAACTAGTTCGTAGTCATTCTAGTTACCTGTTCTGATCTGGTTAGTCTTATTAATCATAGCCTTGCTGAAGCTGTAACTTCACTCAGCCCATCTCCTTTTCTTTTAGATTTGCAGCATACCATGATCTGGGTTGTTATGTAAAAATATCCCCACTAGTCCCATATGAAATTTGAAGTGCAATACTACAAAGCCGTTGCTGCATGGTGTACAAAAACATGACGACGTGTACAAGTTGTTCTCTTCCTTCGTTTATCCATTTTGCTATTGGTCATATATTCAAAAGTTGCCTTATTGCTGTGTTTCTGTAGAAATAAATTTGTGCTAAAATGTCTGTTTCGATTGAGAATCAGTGAGGGCACACGTGTGTAGTGTTTTTTTTTTTAAGCGTAATATTAATGATTTCCAATTTACATGCATGCTAGATTTGAAATGTTTGTCTTTGACTGATCCATTCATGATAATACTTTTTAACTTGTAAATTTTAATTGTTGCCTATATTAGCATATAAAAATCCATTTACTTCCTTATGACCCATGTGCCTAACACAAGGTTTATTGAGGGGAAAGGGGAAAATACAACAGGTCATTGGGGGGGGGCAGCATTTCCTTCAGGGCAGGCACCCTCCAGTAGTCTCATGGGCAGAGAGCACGTGCACCATTGCTGTGCCCTTTCTTTCATTCACGACCTTCTCCAGCTTTCAGTTGCACTGGGGAATAGAGTTTGGGGCAATTGACAGCCCCCTCCAATGCACTCAACCATGATGAAACCACAGTTTCCATAGGCTGGTGTGGTGCTGATTGCCCCCTGCTGGTGCATGGCAGCTTTCACATGGACCAGTGCCACACTACAGTCTTTGTGCATGCGTGCATGTTGTGATAATGATTGTGCCGCTTTCCAAAGACAGCTAAAACCATAGTAGTGCAAGTAGTAGAGACCACATGAAAGATGTGAGTAGGTGAAGAAAAATTGCCTAACTGGTGTCTGTTAGGGTAATGCATCTCACAGGTGAAACTTGAGGATGCAAATCAAATCAAAAACTAGAGTTGGCTGTAGAGGAAATGGCAAACAGGAAGAACAGATTAACACCACAATGTCATAGTAACAACTGAACAAACGAGGGATGTCTCTATCAAAGGAATTTTGAAGGTTCTAGGTCACACACAAACACAATGGCATTGCAGATCCAGCCAGTGGTGGGGGTGTTTGAAAGACAATCATTTTTAAAATCCAGTCTTGAAACAACGGCAGTGGAAACCATTTTGCTGAAAAGTTAAATATAATATATGAATAAGTTGAGTATTCTGTAGTCTTACTGTGAACCTTGGATGACTGCAAAACAAGCAGATATCCACAAATATTAGGACTACTCACAACAATAATTAGATGACTTATAGTACAAAGATTAACTATATATTTGAGAAAGGCATAGGGGTGCAAAAATATGCCGTTTACCCCTGGGTTGCAGTATGGATAGCTCAATACGGCCAAGCTTAATTTTCTTATCTTCTATAAAGCATCCCTCTTCTCTGTCACTTCTCAAAATGATGTTATATGTTCTCTGAAGGCTTTGGAATAAGCCTCCAGATTCGCTGCCACCTTGGACTTGATAAGCAGCTTTGGAATAGTCATTTGCTGCTTTTTTAGAAAGGCAGAAGCCATTTCCCCCCCCCAAAAAAAAACAAGAAAATGCAAGGTGAGTGAGAGTCATTAGTGGCTCCCATCAGTACCTGCACAGTAATAGATTTGAATGAAAGGGAAGGTGATGCGGAAAGTGGTGAATATGGCAAATGTGTTTTTATCATACACAGATTGATGCACTATAAGGCCAAAAGTATGTGGACACAAGCTTGACCAACTCATTTCAAACCAAGGGTATTAATATGAAGCTGGTCCACCCTTCAGTTCTATAATAGCCTCTGCTCTTCTGGGAAGGCTTTCCATTAGATGTTGAGACATTGCTGGTGGGATTTGCTGCCATTCAGGTTGGGTGTTGGCATTGAGTTATTAGGTCTCTTTTTGGGAGCTTGTTTGTCCTACCACTTGACCTTCATAATCATTTCTCTTGCAGTTGACAGATCTAGCAGGGCAAAAATGGGGCAAATTGATTTGTTGGATGGTGTACTATGATGGTGCTAAGTGCAAACTGTTTGTTGCAGGAGATTGTGTGCTAAATTATACATGTTAATCAGCAACTGGTGTGGTTCAATTAGGCAATTCCTCTAATTAATAGGGTTGTCCACATAGTTTTTGCCATATATATTAGAGACAGGTTCAGGATTGTTAGGAAACAAGACCGACAGACAGACAGACAAGCAGGCAGGCAGATAGATAGAATATTGTGAAGAACCAATATGGGCTGTTCCAGGTGTATTTTAAATGGACTTGACTCTGAAAATTATTAAGGTTTAAAAAAAAGTCTACTAATAGTTTTAAAGTTGTCCTTTGCAGCTGCTTTACAGTGCACATAAACCTCTGTTGAAATGCCCCATTGTTATAACAGGTTTTTATCTGTTTAGAAGCACATTAAAATATTAGTTGGCTAACAACTTGTGTAGAAGCTGAAAGAGAGATCAGATACAGGGTGACATTAAGGAATGTCTTTGCTACAGGGTGGAAGCTGAGATGATAAGCTGCCCCTCCGCTGTTGGGGAATCCACGCTGACCATTGTGGGAGATGACTGGGATTTTTTCACGGGCTTTAAATACTCTTCCAAAAGGCTTCGAGAACTTGATTTCATTTTTGATTTCACAATGTCCATGTTGAAGGCCTTTTGTACCCTAAGCCAGTGTTCCTCAAACCAGTCCTAGGGGACCCCAGACAGTCCACGTTTTGTTCCCTGCCAACTCCTGGCAAAAATGTGGACCATCTGTGGGTCCCCGAGTACCGGGTTGAGAAGCACCGCCTAAAGCAACAAAGTAACTCCACAGCATTGCTAAATGTTTCCCATATGTACTGTAGAGATGGTGCTTTTTGAAGGTCTCTTTGGAAAAGATTTGATGTTCAATTTGCATTCCAAACTCTAATTTCTGATCTGTCCTGCAAAAACTAGGCTATTTTGCTAAAGTTAATCTTGAAATGGAAAATATACTGGAAAGCCTTCGCAGTCATAAAATTCAACAATGTATTAACGGAGAGAAAAAGGGTTTCCACGGGCAATTTCCTGAGACAAGGCATATCCCAAAAGGAATGCTATTCCATTGCGGAGCACTCTGGTGAAGTTCCATGCATAGAAGTAGAAAGCATTTGAATTTGTACTCTTCTTAATTTTGGCCTTGTAACTTCATTTGTTGTATAATACTAATTCTGTAGTAGACAGCATTGTCTATACCCTTGAGTGTGAACGATTGTAACAATAGATGTTTTATGATACCTTTTTCTCTTATGCTCTCCTTTATGTGGTGTTGGCCAGGCTGATTCCCTGGTTGTGTGTGAGGTAGAGGACAGTCTTTTGGAAAAGTTGAAACGGTTCAGATTCCGTAAAGAGACCAGCAACGCTGCCATCCTGAGTAAGCATCACCCACATGGATTTGATATCAATAATACATGTGTTCGGTCATCAATTAACACAGTTATGTAGGAACAGGGCAATGAAGTTTTTTTTGTTCTATAGAGATACTGCGTGGGTTGTAAGCTCCATAACACTGCATGTCAATATTTATAATGCTGCAAATTAAAGGCTGTTTATGTATGGATAAACAGAACGGATTACTCATTAAACTTTTAAAACTAATGAAATTTAGAAACAATATTTTGTTTGAAATCTGGAATAAACTGTGTATGCTTTATCCTTTTAGTGAAAATTGATAAAGAGAAGCAGTTAGTGATCCTAGAGGAAGAGTATGAAGTAAGTTTTTTTTACTCCAGTTCTTATTTTTCAGAAAATTGTATTAATTAGGCTAGTTATCTATGGAATGTTCCTGAACTCAATTCTATATCAGTATCATAACACATATTTAACCGAAGCACATTGCACAATACTAAAATGATACAACAGTATACACAGGAAACTGGGGGAAAAATGCTGAAATATTTGACTGCAACATTTCTAAATAGATTCTGGGACGAAAGACATGTGAAGAGGCAACTAATGCTTTACCTTTCAGGATATCTCTCTGGATGATCTGAAGAATGAACTTCCGGAGAGACAACCAAGATATCCTTTACCATAAAGAACAGAAGTGTACTCAGGATAAGGAATAGATTCAAACAAAATCCTAATCATGGATAACCATATATTAAGTTGTTTCTTATTTCTATATTACCAAATGCCATCAGACATGGGCAGTGAACAGAAATTAATATGTATCATTCTGGTTTAGCAACTAGTTAATGGACTGGTTTCTGGTGCAAATCCAGTGCAGTTTTATTCCCATCCTCTTAAAAAATTCTACTAAGCTCCATTACAGAAAAGGATCATGTTAATATCACCCAGCTCCTGAGTTCCACTTTAGGTTGTGCTGGACAATGTTATGTTTTGCCTCAAATAAATGTTACCATATTAAGAAGGTTGGAATAGCTGTATTAACAGTTTACTTTTTAAAAAACAACTTTTTAAAAACATAAGTTATTTATTGCAAAATGCAGTGTTAAGCAAATTGCCCTCTGCATAAGTAAATGTTACCAGATTTGATTTCAAAGACAGCCTTGTTTGGATGACTGTAAAGTCCTTTTATATCTTTGGATGTGTCCCTGCATACCACATTCTTGGTATTCCATTCAGCATTCTAATAACAATCCAATCTTTTCTCCATGTGGTTTAATTCCAGAATAGCTTCCTGTCCATTTAAGCAATAGGATGACATTTTCCATGTGTCCTCTGCATCAGTTATTGGTCTTACTTGCAGTGTGAAAAACTCTTCAGTCTTGTGCTTGATTCAAATAGCCTTCAAAAGAAACCAATTGTATTTATGTCTGCAATATTTATAAAAAAAAATATGGCGTCCATTTTGTTAGTGGTTACATGACAAATAGACAACTATTACAAATCCCCTAGATTTTAGAAAAATAGGCATCCTATGACAGGGTGACATGTGACACAGTGGGCAGGCCTGACACCTCACACTGCCAGGCTTGGGGGTTTAAATCCCACCCGTTGTGTGTGTGTGTGTGTGTGGAATTCACATGTTCAGCCTATGTTACACAGGTAAATTCTATATTGATTCATTGAATCAAAGATGAATTCATCATTCTATCCCTTACTTGGAAGAATCCACTTATAATATTACTTAAAGTCCTTCACTCAAACCACACATTCATTGTGTACAGCTATAAGTACACTCATGCAGATGGCAGAATTTCCTACCCTCTGTGCTTTATCTTCTCAAGTCCTGTGGGTAAGTGTTCCACTGAAACGTAATTAAATAAAGCGTCCAAACATCTCATTATGTCTATTAAGTTATGCCGTCAGCATTATATATATTTGCTGTTCTTCTGTTATTTGATTTGAAAACTGATCTCAAGAAGGAGAGAAGATGGATGAGCAGTGTTTTGTTATTCTGCACAGGTTGTAAGCCAGAGCAGCAGATGATGTATGCAGGCAGCAAAAATAGACTGGTCCAGGCTGCAGAGCTCACAAAGGTATATCACCGTGGACATATATCTACAACTCAAATGAAACCTTTAGGTTCAGATTAAAGGATGATTCCTTCACCATCACGTAACCTGAAAATCACTTTCGGTCGTGCTTGTGTTCAGTTACTGACCTGGGTGATATTAAATAAACAGCACTGTGTAAAAGTCTTCAGCAAATAATACATTCACTGCTATTTATCTGGGTAGTGAGTGTATGTTTGCTCAGAAAACACAATTTAGCAAAATTTAACATCAGAACAAATACAAAACAGAAGTCACTGTTTGCAAATTTGCAGACGGTAATTAAAACTTAACACTTTCATGTGCTTTCCAAAAAGTTACGCCCCAGCCATTCTATGTATTGATTAAATTTCACTGCCAGCTCAATTTATTAATCAAATTAGTTAAATGCCTCAGTGAAGTATTGATTAGGCAAACATGGCGTGCTAGTGGTCAAGTCAAAAAATATCTGGGTGTATTCTTTGTAGTCTTTTGCACAGTACTAGATGATCATCTGCCTTTTGCACGATACAGTATTTAAATCCTTACAAAAGTATAGTAAAAAATAGCTATGGCACAATATGACCATATTCACAGTTCAGTGTTTCTTACATTTTTGCTCCCTCTCATTGCAGGTGTTTGAGACCCGAAATGCAGATGACCTTTCAGAGGAATGGCTTCGAGAGAAATTGTCTTTTTTCCGTTAGTGTAAATGTTTAAAACCCTTACAGTTAAAACTGGGTATTGAAGAAAAAAAAAGTGTTAAACCTTAAGTTTATGGCATTATAGCTAAAACAGATGAATGGGTTGTATTTGTATAGAGAACTTAAAAGGGGCTGAGGGGGGGACTTGAATTAAGCAATTTTTTTTTTCCAGAATAAAAGTTCATGACTATGTTTTATCTTTCCCCTTTAATTACAATAAAAAATGCATGCTCGGGAATCAGAAATTATACTACAGTAATAAGGTACAGAATTACAATACAATATTTATGGGAATTTGGATAAGGTAATGCATTAACACCAGTCTGCTTCATTCTGGACTTCAAGAAAATTGACCAAATTCAGTCAAGATCGTCAAAAGAGTCACTTTTTCCACTTACTGTATCATGAGTCTACCATGTTCTGGTTACATTTTGTTATGAAGGTTTAAAACAAAAGCGAATGATTTTCTTCTTCCCAGAAATGAGCACAAATAGTACCTTAGTTGCAGAATAAACTACCTGCAAATGTGAAATAAGCGAGTGCTGTGAGGGGTATTCAAATGACCATCAAATTACAAGTGAATGGCAGGGAACGTGGCTTGCCTACACAGAACAGCCTGTGAAATTCCTAATAGAAACTCAACATAGCCAACCAAAAAGAAAAACCTACCAGTCAATGTCGAATCCAGCAAAAACATTTAACTGTACACTGACCATTTAAAGAGACACATCTAGCAGAGGTAGAGGCCCCAGTTTAAGTTAAGATTGAGCTGGACTAAGGCCTGGCATTTAACTGTACAGTGCCATGCCTGTGAACCCTCACTCACTGTCACTGCCTTCACTGGAATCCGAGCCCTGCTCACTGCCACTGTGCTGACCGCCGTCCGAATGCTCACTGCTGCTGAGGGCCGGCGAAGCACTGCGGCTCTTCGTGCCGCCTCCCTCCTCCTCCTCCTCACTCCCGCTGCCCTCCCCGCTGCTTCGATTCTTGGCATCGTCCTCCTCGCTGTCGTCGTCGCTGCCGAAGATCTCCTCTTCGTCTCGCATCTCCCGAGCCTGACGGTCATCCCCACTTTCGCTGCCGCTGCCACTGCCCCTCCTTCTCTGCTTGACCCCCTCTTCCTCCTCATCTTCCTCCTCGTCTTCTCTCCTCGGAGCAGCATCTTCATCTTCCTCACGGTCTGACTCGCTGCCCGAGTTCTCTCCTTCACTTTCACTTTCTCTCTCTTTCTCATCACCTGTGGGGGCACAAAGTAACAAAGTTAGAAACCACACACACACACACCTCCATCCAATTCTCCTACTAAGCCTACAAAATTGAAAAATCAGAAATTATAGCTTTTTTTAACCTTTTAATGGCACTGTTTACATCAAGTATGTAATTTCGCAACCACTGCATTAGGAAAATTGGGAATGTATACATTGTTTCTTACAGCCTTACTTTGCAGAGACTATTTTATTTAAACTCAACACTTTCACCAAGTTAGAATAGGATACAGCCCCTTGTAAGAGAGAATGTTACATACTACTTGTATTATAAAAATCATTAAATGTTTAAGTATAAGATCAGATTAAGAGGATTCCGATTGATTCTAAAAATAAAGAAAAATCCCTATAATCAACTATACAGGTTTTCTGCAGGATTCAACAAGTTATATTTAAGCTTTTTAAAGATATTTTTAAGTCATAAGATCTTTTTCACATCCATTCTGGCAGAAAAGTATGAAGGATAATGAAGGAAAATCAGTCCCAGAATTACTGACAAAGTAAATTCATTCACAGTCAACATGAAAATTTTTTTAATGAGAGGAGATGCCACATTAGCCCACGCAGCGCACCGTGACACACTAGCTGAGCGGCTCTGATAAGTTCTTACAATGCTTCACAGTTTAGCGGTAAGTGGTAATTGGTTCCATGTTGGTTTCGTTTTGTTGTTTTGTTACAGCGTAATCAATTTCTCCCAAACACACATTTAACAGAAAGATGCAAGTTCATGCAACTTTATAAAAGTAACGTTGACTTCATAATCCAATCAATTTTGAAAGCCTGTCAGAAATTGTATTTAAGACATTTTAAGGCATAAAATTCAGAATACTGGATTTTAGACTTTTTAAGGTTTAAGGACCCACAGAAACCCTGTTATAATGGCACAAATTACTATTTGTGCAAAAAGACACCTGTAGACAGTTGGAGCGTGATCCCATAAATAATAAGTACTGATAGACTTACCAGAGTCCTGCAAGTCCTTCTCCAGGTCCATATCTTCTTCCTCATCTTCAGGCTCATGATTCTCCAGCTGAGCCTTACGAGCTTCCTGTAGACCAAGAGAGGAAGACACTGAGCAGAAGCCGGCCACCTCGACACCGAAGCCAGAGAGACGGAAGAGAAGCAGGCACCTGAGCCTCGAGTTCCTTCTCGTTCATGTCGCGATGCTTGCACACCAGCACAGCGTTGGTGGTGGACTGGGCCCCGGCCTTAGCTCTCCTCTTGCTCAGTCGCACCCTGTAACACAGATGCAGGTTCTGTGAGCTTCCACCCATCTCAGCTACAAACCACTTCTGCAAAGTGGGGTGAGTCAAGCTGCTCTTGGCTGAAATAATAAAGTTGGTTAAATGATGAACTTCTGAGCCTTTAAGTAGAATTTCCATCCGTGTTGCATATTGTGTGTTTCCACTCACAAACCAAACACAGAGTTAGGTAAACTGATGTCTCGTCATCAGAAAAATCACCGGTGAATTGTTGGCAAAAGCAAACATGACAAAAAACCAACCACACTCATCATCGACTGGATACCAGAGGTAATACTGTCCACATGCCAAACCTCTTGATCCACCATGTACTCACCTGGTTTCCAGCTCATTGTAGTATACCCCATCCCCATCTCTAAAGATGAAGAAGTAATTCTCTTCATAGCCCTTACTGGCCTTGTTTTTCACATTCCAGTTATATTCTCGAGCAATCTTGTACTCATACCTACGAAAAGAAAATATTTCAATGAGATTTACAGTTCATGGACATAAAAGTCTGTGACTGTTGTATCTGTATTAAGCTACGAGGAACCATTAGAAGAGTCAAAAAATATACAGGTGCACAAGTCCATTTCTGTTGACAATAAAAAGTGTAATCGGTTTCCAAACCAAAAACACAACTCACAACACAACTCAGAACTGAACGAACCCATTTCAGAAACATCTTTTGAATGCTTGCGGTTCTGCAACTTCATATGAAAAATGACACGGAACAAAATCTTCAAAAAAATCGAATCTGCATTCATAAATTAACCGGCAAACATGGAATGTCACTCACACTTCCTCTGGCATGTAGTCCAAGTCCTCCTCAAAGTCCCTCTTCCGCTTCCGCATCGTGTCCTCATTAGGCAGAAAATAGGCCACAAACTGGTTGCCTTCTTCATCCATCATGCCCCTTAGTAAAGGACAGTTAATAAAATTTAAGATACGGACTGTTACAGTTAAAAACTACAGACGTATGCCCCACGGCATTTACATGGGTGTGGTGAGATACATTTCAACATCATTAAGACAGAATCATACAAAAACAGAGTAAAGGAAAGAAAGAAATGAAAGAAAGAAATCCATATATGATAATATATTAAACTACTCCATTCCCTCCTTTTTTTGCTCTGAGATAGTTGGAATTGCTTGTGATTGCTTGGTACTTCCCTACACTCAGAATCCATAAAATGCAAGAACACTTACTGACGTCAGATAAGGAATCTAAAAACTGGGTAAAAGCAAGGAGAATGAGTACACAGTACACAGGTTTTTGTACCTTATCATAGCTTGGGACATCATGTCAACTCCAGCAGGCCCTGAAATGTCTTTGGGAGCTGGATCCGAATCAAAGATAACCTGAGCACATGGGTTGATCCACATCTAGCAAAGGAAGGGGGGGGGGGAAAAAACATATTCAAATTTCAGCATTTTTCAACCTACTCGTCTACGTCCTGATTCAAAAACATTTGCGGCGATCTGCACCAAACGAGAGATTCACCTCTTCAATTTTCATCAAGTTTTTTGAACACACAAACCTTTTTTTTTTTCCTTTTTAACAAACAAATTGCGCCAATTACTTCAACCACAGCTCTGCAGTATTTGTAATTTAGTCTCACACACACTGGTGGTTAAGATACAACTTAGGAAAAATGCCTTTACCTCTCAACATCTAATAAAAGTACCAGAAAAGACCCGCAAGGAAAAACAATGTTTTAGAAGATCTGAAAAGGCAAAGCTTTACTTTTCATTACATGCTTAATACTTAAAATGTATCCTTGTCTTTCTGCTATATAATGTGTATTTCGCCATCAATACATAACTGATTTAAAAATATAACTTTATTAGATAAACAATTATGTTGTTAAAATGATTTGCTTAGTGGTTTTGAAGTTAACAGCAAAAGTAAAAACACCTTTATGTTAATAATATGTTATTCTCATATTTATTCTGTAGACCTAACAAATATTGGTGTGCAAATCTCTTGTGCCAAAAGGTTATGCAAATTCTGTACTGCCATTTACTTTTGCCGTTTTAAGCTATGAAAACATAACCACTCACCTTGAAGTCAGGAAACACAGGTAAGACTTCCAAAGGCACAACTCTGGGCTTACTGTAGTGCTGTGCGATCTGTCACATTGAGAAGACACAAAACACCATCGCTGGTTACTCTACATACAAACAACTTTTTAACATTATGACTAAAGTCGGAACCAATGCAGCAATAACGAAAATTTGTCCATTTTGCTGCAAAACAAAATTATTAATTTTACTGTTTTCTGAGCGTCCTCAAAGGTCTTCTCTATGGCTGAAATCTGGCTATCCCTGTCCTTGTAAATCTCTTCTTCAGTGAATTGCTGTTTGACAGAGACACCGATCCTGATAGAGAGAAAAACACACAAAAATGTACTAACATTCGACTCTTGCATGCAATCGGACTGACTCTAAAAGGTTTACTTACTTGACCTCAACCTTCTCGTTGGAGATGCCGTATCGGTTAAATTCAGTTGATATGTACTCCGTCTTCCTCATCCAC